TTCTTATGAGTTTAAGGTATGTAAACGAAAATACGAGAAGGTTATGGAATTAACAATTAAGATTTCGTATAGTTTTTCTAGTATTCAAATGGTCCTGTCTAATATGAAATAATAGAGAATAAACGAAAATAATTGCATGTTTTAGTCTTAAGATTTACAAAACGGAAGTTGTGAGTAACTCAAGATCGATAGGAGGATCCCATAATGAACATTAGTGAAGATGCGGCCGCACCTACTGACCCAGTGAGCACGTGATCCATCGTACGTGTGTTTGTGAATACGATCAGCAATGCGTGGTGTTCACACCTGTACAACTGACTGTGTTTTGTTACGATAGTTAAGTGCACGTAGTATAGTTTTCCTGTAACAAGAGGAGCAACGTATTAAGACTATTACGCAATTAGAAAATAATCTGTTCAGTAGTATGAGACACTGCCAGCTAGACTGTTTCTTGGATTTAAGACTTTTTCATTTATTAGAATGTAAACAGATGTATGTAAGTCGTTCTTTAAAACTATATCTATCGTAGATTAGTAACATACTTTTTACCATTAACGTTTGTCAATCAAAAACATATTAACAAACTGTACATTCTCCATAGTCAGAAATATATAACAATAAACCATATTAAGTGATACAATAAATATTATTTACAATTTTTCTTTATTAATGATAGTTTTAAATGAAATTACTAATTTCTGCTTAAAAATCAATTAAACATAACTTGTTCGTCTAATTTTAAGCTATAAATTGATCGAATAGTATGTACAAACTTTTCAATTTCTATTTGAAAGTTACGGGTTTAAATAAAATAAAACTATTTTTTTAATTAGTCGGTTAATGTTCACATTTTCCTTTTGTACATATCAATGAAACGTTACTGGTCCTACTAATAAAAAATTGATTATTACTCTACATCTTATACTTGGTCATGAGTCTATAAACTCTTTAAATTAAAAGTAAATTAATTTTTTAGTTGTTTCTTCAAATGAAGAATATGTGACGATGGACGGTTAATTTACTTAACGCGTGTCTTCTATACACAGCGTAAAATTATGCCCTGAACTAGGTAATTTATGATCGATATCGGATATAAGAAGATAGCTCGTTTCGAGGTTGACTCATACTTGATCCGCAACTGTCATACGTAAAGTTACTGACATATTTTAAGCACTTTAATATTTACACTCTGATATGCTTGCCGTGTCATGGCCGGAACGTTGTAACTTTCTATCGCAATCACTGTTTATCGACTATTGTAAAACGAACTTACGACTATGGTACACCAATCATAACTACCTTGCCCTTATTCCATTTACAATTGACTTCAACGAACTAGTAACACCGAACGAAAAATAAATACTGTTCTTTATAACATAGAGACAAATCAAGATTCGTTATTAAAATTTTCATTGGCCTACATTGTGAACACTTGTGTGAATCCTCATTTTTATAGACTATTTCACAAAGTCAAGAATCAAAGGAACATTTACATTAACGATTAAGAAATTTATAAACCCTCCATTCGTCGCTATCTAAGTCGTGGTTTACTACTACAACTACAAGAAAATAAGTACGATTTAATTATGCATTGCGAACTGAATACACTGACGATAACCATCACAAAAAAAAGAATACAAAAAAACAGAACATAAACTCAGGGGACGGCGAAGATTGCGGCATTTCAAAACATCATTGGCATGTTAACTTTGTATGTTCATTACTGCATTAATATCTAGCACACTTGCAATACCTTTCTTTGCTTTGCTGTTTTTTTTTCTGCGGCCATAAATCATATATACGAGTCACTTTCGCACTAGCTGCTGGAATTTGGTCTTTGACACCACCAAGCTGTTTCATTAATATACGTAGACTCTCTAATAAATTTAAAACGGATAATTTTTCTTTTACATGGGGCTCCTAAAGCCAACTCCTGCATAAGAAATAATTTCATAATAAACATACCTCTTGATTCCTTGTCAACCTATTCTAACGCCAACTGTATAAGTTTCTTTCCTCGAATCACTATTATACAAAATTTATAAAAATTGGAAAATCTATTGTATCAGCATATGAAAGTATCTACTACAATTACGAGAAAATTATATGTTCACGATTAATTATTACACAGAAATAAACAAAATTGACAACCACTTCTAACACGATCTCCGAGTATAAACGCAAAAAACATTGAAACAATCCAATCTTGGGAAACTAAAAAAAGATGTCTAACAGCAGTTGATTACTGATAACATGACTGACCATTGAGTAAGTATCTACACGTTACAATTACCAACACTAATTTCACATATGTTAATGTAAACAAATTGCAAATTGTAAATAGGAAAATAAAGAAAACTCTCTAACTGTATTTGATACATCCCCAAAGAGGCAGTGTAAGATTATCACAGTTTTTCTAACAACATTCGCAAAATGCTCATATATAGACAAATGGCTCAAAATGACTCGAATAAATAGGAGAATCTGTAAAAGGGGATTGTTTCGCAAAGTTGGTCGATAGTGTCGCAATGTGGGCAGTGAGCACGACCCATTCCGTTCGTTTATGGATGAAAATTCGCCACTGTTTTATTCGTGCTCCCGATCCAATTCCACTTTCGTTCGTGCATGTTTAAACAAGACGCCCGCCGTGCGCGCTCGGTCCAAGGCTTTTGCACGTGTACACATGTGTATAACATCCGTGGTGTGTACGTCCACGCAAAAATTATACACCGTGAGTCACGTGAAGTCCAGCATGCTCCGATGCATAGTTTCCGACGTACCGACAACACGTGCTCATGAATTAAATCCCGTGGTTACCTCGCCCTTCGTTCCAGGCTCCAATTACGCGCGCGACATTCTGTCCTTTTTTTGCTTTTCGTAATCGTTACTCGCACGTCCGGGATTTGTTGAATTATTCGGTTACGCGGGATTCCATCGTGTCGCGACGATTGCTCAAACACGTGAACATTTTTGAACGATTGATCGTGAAACAGTCAGCACTGATAGGCAACAATTTAATGTAAGAATCACCTTAAGAGCAAATTTAAAGGACAATGAATCGATTCATAACCTATTGCACTACCCAAAACATACGAAACTGTACCTACAATAAACTGTAAAGTTGGACTTTGAGTCGTTAATAACTAGACTACGCAAAAAAAAATTTTAACATGGGAAATTCAGTAAAATAAAGAGTTTAACTGTCGAATGGTAAAATGGGTTTTAAGGTCGTACTTGGTAAGGTGGGGTCGGATCTGGTTCGAACTCTTCTTTGCTGTGATCAGACGGTTAAGAAAAGTTATTAGGAAGGTGTTGCCCGCTAGTGAGTTTGGCGGGTGCTGAGTTGCCCATCACTGATTTACACCTTAGAATCGGTTGATGATTTTTTCATTTGCTGATGGGAAGTGACGAGCGAGAACCAATGAAGCAACAAGAGTGACGTAATGGACCAACTACTTCTTTTTAACCTTTCCGTTAGCAGGTATTGGTATCCGGAAGTGTATTAATAGTATTCTGGGTGGAACAACATTAATATTGGGAAATAAACTGCTCCATACTATTAATTTCTGTAAAGTATCCTAATTGTACATGATCTCCATATACATCTATCGATTATACTTTATAATACATTTTAATTAATGCTATGAAATGAAAATAATTCACGAAATTTTGCATATTTTAATAGTAATTTTTACATTTTCCAATGCCAATTTATTCCACATAAATCTAATATAAAAATAAGTTTCAGTTCACTGGATCCCTATCTTTGACTTCGTTCTACGTAGGATGTCTGACATTTTTATTCAAGCTCTGTTAACCTATGCTTTTATTAAAGATGAAGCGAAAGTATCGTATAAAAATGGAATATAGAAATGTTTCTTTCTCGAAATAAACTTTCGAGTTACGTAATAAAGAAAATACTAATGGGTTTAGTCAACGTTTGCACAGAAACAGGGAATATGCTCAATCTTATTGAAAGATTTTTTAAGGAATATTTCAAAGTATCTCGCATAAATGGAGAGATAATTATACTTGAATCGAAAAATTCGCAAGATATAATATTTCAGCTGCATCTCTATCCACACCAATTCGATCATCCTACATTAACACTAGAGAGTGTTCAGTCAGATTCAGTTTTAGTCAGATCGATAATCAGGACATCGTTTTTAAAATATTAATTAACCAATTCTTTGATATTCATATTATAATAAATGTAGTGACAGATGTAAAAAAATGAATTATTGTAACATTTTAATTATCGTTATAACACCCTACTAACCAGTCCTTTTGATTATTTTGATAATTCTAGTGTTAAAATGACGATGATCCATAATCAACACGTAAACGGAAAGCTCAGTGTCGGTCACCGGTGATCGTCATGGTGATAAACGTATTAAGAACAAATTAAATTTCCCAAGGAAGGAAAAATAATTAATCGAATCTCGTAAAATGATGAAGAAACTAACAAACATCGCTCGATGACAACATAGTTGGTCCGCTTCAATTGGCACGAAATGAGACCAAACCCAAAAGGGGAGGGCCACGGGACCATTTTTCGCGAAATTACGTGATAGTGACACAATCGTACATAAGGGACCCACGACACACGGTCATACAGTGAACCTTGCTAACAAAGCCAGCAGACCGCCTGCGCAACTTATGTGTACGTACGGCGTAGTCTCCGGTGTGTCATGCTTCGCGTTCCAGTTTAAGTTATACCGCGACGCAGCGTGGAGGTGCATGGTTCACAGTCGATTCCGCATCGTTTGCCGACGATCAACGTGACTAAACACTAGCTGAGACGCGTCCGTTTATCCATCCGATAGATTCATTGTAGATTTTTCGTGACCTCTTTAATTCTGTGAATTCATTACCTCGAGTAAAGAAGCAATTTGTGACACTACAGCAACGAGGGGGTTGATGGACAGGTGGCAGTGATAAGTCCATTGATATTTGGTGAACCTGTGTAGCTGGAAGAGTTCTCAGAGAGTGTACAAGCACGTTTAGGTGGCTGTGGAGACAGAAGTTGTTCGAAGAGGTATATATGTACGTATCCTTCAGCCCTTGGTAGGTGGAGTCCTAAGGCATTATCATTTTTATAATTAATCTTGAAATATTGAATTTTTTTTACATTACTTTTGTATGGGAAATAAATTTTTTGGTCGATAATCTAAGTTTTGAAAACGATTTTTAATCTTACGTCTCGATGAAATCAACTTTTGTCAATTGAGGGTTGAAGGGTTGAGGAAAATTTGGTGTAACTCTGAAGATTGTGGATTGTTTAAGTGGATTATAGGCACACGGTATTCTGAAACGCTTAAGATTTATCACAGTAACGCGAACATAATTTCAAAAGCTAATAGAATAGAATGTTATTGAGTCGCGTATTTCCTGATTGCATAATACAAATGGCAGAAGAATCTTGAACAATAACATTCCATTCTTTATGCACTGAAAAGTACCAATAAACAGGTTTCATCTTCAAGTTCTTCTCTAAAAAAAAGGAAATTGAATACAAATTTCCAAGCCACCTCACAATTGTAATTCGTATATGAATAATAAATTTTACTTTCAAACAGTAAGTTAGTGAGGAAACTCGGAGATTGTTACTATTAAGAACTTTTACGATTATTACATTATTAAAATCTACTATTTACTCCATTGAATTTAAATTCGCACCACATTTAAAATTTATTTCAATTTACTGTTAACAATAACTGCATTAAAAAACATTACCCAGATTCTTTAATACTGTCTGAATGAAATAAATAACTGTGTACAATTGTTTGAAAAAAATTCATCTATCTGCATTTACACTGAAATACATTCTAAAATTTATGTGCATGTTCTTAAATCACGTTTCCCCGTGCTTATCCTCCCCCGCTGTTCATGGGGGTTGCGTTCAACCTTCCCCAGGCAGCTTGATATTTATCGCGATACTTGCTACAACCTAGGGTCGCCGTGCTCGATGACAGAGGACTAGCATTGGAAGGTGAAACAATTGATCGTGAAGAAAGGGTGAACGTAAAATCTATCAAACTGGGTGACGGCAAAGGGAAACACCGCAGAGTCAGAATGGCAGACGAAGGGCAACAGGAACAGCGTCTCCCCAAAGAGCGCAAGATGATCGGTCATTTACCGTTTCTAATGAAGATTTTGGAAGTTGTGAGTTATATCTCGAATTATGATAATCAATGGAAATGATGGAGTTCATAATAATTAACCATTTTAATCGTTGAATGTATTCTTCACTGGAACGTTTTACTGATACGGTTACTTAACCCTATAAAGCAGAGTGTGACGTTTTTGTAACGTACACGTATAATAGAGAAAGTAGAATGTTTATGGAGTTAATCTAAGAACGAATGTGACGATTTCGTAACATATGAAGAAAAAAGTAAACTTGACCTTGACACTTCGAGATGTGTTTTAGAATTTATCTTTTTATAAATATGAAAACATAGAATAGAAAAGTTTTTTTCTTAAATTGAAATTTTGGGCGTTATAGGGTTAAACAATTTATTCATTTAACGTTTTATAGTATTCGTTACAGGTAGCGTTATATTTACTGTCGCATGAAATTCTTTCTAGATTCTGTCTGTGTTCGCGATCGGATTAATAGTCGACCCACTCAACTCGTTCCAACGAATACTGATCAGATCGAAATTCAAACTGGACGACGCCGCGATAATTTACATCAGCATCGCCGGTTACATTATAATCAACACGCTTTTCATCATTTGCCACTTCCTCGGCGACCGAATACCAAAGAGAACGGTGAGTTAACATCCGATACATTTTTCTATTTTCAGACATCCGCCATGAAACACCATAATAAAATGTATTAGTTAAAAATGCACAATATACATAACATTTCCTAATCGATAACTAATATGCTTTCAGTCTGATATATTTTCATGTATTCATTTTCACAAAAACAAAAAACACTGAGAAATACTTGTGATAGTAATATATTTTTATGTATTTATTGTCACCAAAGGTGGAAGAAAATGGTGGAGAATACTTGCAATTGCAACTGATAATTAGACTGTGAATTTCATATATTTATAGCATACTTAGGTGTCTACAGTTCAGTATAGTAAAAAGTTCAGTGAAATTCAATTATGTTTTTACTTCATTTGGAATCTAAACGAGTAACGGAAAATTCAATGAAATTCAATGAGGTTTTTATTTTATTTGGAAGCTAAAAGAGTAACGGAAGTTACGATTAAGAATCTTAAGAGTAAATAAATTTCTACATATTTGATTTCAGTTTCTGTAAATTGATCCGGAAAAGTCTATATTTAGATATACTATTCGCAGTCTAATGTTAATATAGAAAGTAATTAACGAAGAATCCTGAAACGCTAATAAAATTTTGATACGACAAAAGAAAATGGGATTCTGACAGTCTGTAAAGTATTCTTACACCCGGCTAGAGTAGAACCTAGAATCTAGATTACGTGGCGTGTCTCGTGACAATAAATTGACAAAGTGACACAATCGAGGGATCGCGTGACGATCACAAAAGGAGGAGTAGTATTATGTCAGATTCGTTTCCTCCATTCGATATTTTCGATATAACATACACGCTGACAGGACTCATGTTTTCAACATTTCGCTGGACTCCACTTAGAGCCTAGCCCATTTGTACAGCTGAGTCGTCGCAGATACCACGCATTCGATAATTAACAGATGCGTCATGTCCTTCGTAACGTGTATCAATACAACCTATATTTTCGAATTTTTTCTACGGGACTATATATTTGTCTCTGGAGAAACTCAACGGTTGTTCATAGTCGAAGTGGTCGTAAGTTATTTCCTGCGAAACTGAATTTTGTAGTATTTTTGAGAATGTGATGTTGGGAACTGAGAATATTCTAAATGTAAAAAATGTGAATCTTTTATTTCAGTAAAAGATTTTGTCGAATAAACTTCCATATTCGACGTGTAAATTAAAGTAATATGTTTAATGTATAATTAGACAATTAATGCCAGGAGATTAAATCTTATCAATAGTTTATTGACAAAGGAATAAAAATTATTAATAATTTTAATATTTTTATTTTTGAATATTAATATTTTTGTTTATTCTTTAACGGAAAATATACGGCATAAAAGTTAAAGAAATGGTGTTCGATGGTAACATACTTTTCGAGCAAATACTGCTACTCGAATGAGCACCATTAAATATTCAAGGTTGTCTAATGAAGGTTCACTTGTTTTTCCTGGATCGTAGTAGGTTCCCGAGATTACAGACGACGGTTAAAAGCTGTATCGATCCATCTATAGACATTTCCTGAAAAATGCAATTTCGTGCGACTATGGATAGAATCAGATATCCCCATGAAATATAAGAGTCCAATTTATGACACGAAACTAAGTAATACAGTTTTAACAACACCATTACCTTAGTCACAATGTAACATAAATATATAATTTAATAATTGTAATGGACATCATTAAAACGAATCTGCAATGAACTTCAAAATATTACTGTCATAAGTATTTGTGATTGTTAGATAAATATAATTTCTGTTTGTATCAGACCTATGAATTATTAATTCAGATATGAAATATAAGTGCTTCATTTGAAAGTACACCTAGTCACACAAAAATGTTCGATGTTCTGTATAATTTTTCTGACTAATCATTACCATTTTTTAAAGTGAATGGCGATTAGTGTTAATAAGTTTGGAAAAGGACTTAACTATTTTCAAAGGAAACGTTCGATGTATACGCATGTGTTCCGTTCCAATTCGATTAAAATTCATACCTTATCGACGTTCAAGTTCCCATGCGTCGTCTTATCAACCACCTTCCTTTACACCGTTTATGCTCGTTTAACGATTGGAACTCGCACTATCGGGGACTACTTATTCGAAGAAAATGGTGATTGTTACGGTCACACGGGTGTGATAACAAGCTGCATAATTCGAGACTTCGATACGAACGAGGACGGGTCAGTGGCCTCCTTTTAGCCGATAGGAAAAAAGGCTCAAGAATAAGACGTGTCGATTTGCGTTACTCGCGTATTATGTACTTTCCATATACATACATATTTCACAGGAGATGAGATTTATAAACTATATGATTATCTAATTGAGTACAATTAATTCTTTTGGGTATCTGAGCTTTTGTGACCAAATTTATTCTGTTTCTTTTAACGATAGTAGTTAAAAATCTGGTCTTATGTGGTCACAGTCATACAAAAATAATACTTCTGTGTATTAAATAAACATGATTTATAAATATAAGAGAATTGGATATTGCAAAATTTAAATGGTAAATTCGAACGAAATTTTGATTACTATTGTAAAGTTAAGTGTACTTATTTAGTTTCTATGTACAATTGTGTTTTCAGTGTTTATTCATTAAAATATTGCACTCTTAGTGCAACATTGTTAAATTTTGTACAATTTCGCTTCATGAAGGAACAAGAGAATGGAAGCTTTGTAATATAAATGGCAATTGACACACTTTTTAAAATTAATATTCAAAATTTTACGAGATAGTCTCTTCCACATGAAATACTATTTATTCAAAAATTTTCTACCTATTCCTATAGTTCCAGCCACATTCGAAATGGCAACTTTTAATAGCCGACCTTGTACAGTAGCTGCAATAAATACACTGCGAATGCCATGTGAATCCATATTTTCCTTCTGCATACGTCACATAATTGCACAGAAAAAGATTAAGAAAACACGTGATAAATAATAAATCGATTTTCAAGCACTGATATTTTTTGGTTCCAGTTGATAATATTCACCTCAGTCGGCGCGCTTTTGCATATCGTCGCAGGAAGCGTGATTGTTTATAATTGGAACAAGATTATGGGCCCCTATTACAATAACAACGAATTTTATCCGAGCAAGCAGTACATGGACATGTTCATATCGGGAGCGGTGTTCACGTTCGTGAACGCGTTGGTTTTCATCGTTGACATTGTTTTGACGATAAGGTATTCAGGGAAGAACTCGCAATGAGGAGGACTTATTTCTTTTTTTTTAACCGAACGAAATATAAATAACCCATTGATATCGGAAAGAATTATTTTATGGCATATTTGTTATGTATGTAGATACAATGAGAAACTGACAACTGCCAATAAGCTAAAATAAATTGATTATAAGCTATAATACAGGATACGACGCGTTAACGAACAGAGATATGTACGGTTACGATCGAAACTATTTTCATGTCTCGAATTATAATGTCGTGAGTGACACTTAGTCAATATGTTAGTACCTACAGGATGATTATACTTATATGTATAGTTATTTCACGCCTTTAAAAAGAAAAGACATAATGTAACATTTCGTGAAAGAATGTCCACCATATGTGTTCGAAATTGTGCGACAGGAACAGCTTATGTAAAATTCGATGGAATACGAAGTGTTTGTGGAACGACATTCCGTCCATAATTTAAAATTTATATTTATAATCGATATGTAAGTTTTTGAGCCAAACATTCACGGATTAGTTGTAAGTTTTAAGTAAGATAGCATTTATTGAAAACATAAATAATAATTAACTTTTTATTAGTATTTTTAGAAAGTGTACAAACGCGAATATCTACATGTGTTGTAGGAGAGCACATTATGTTAACTTATTGGTTTGTATAACGATAGATTAGTAAGATCGTACGATAAAAAACGATAATATGTTAAACGAATAATTTTTTACAATTTATAAATCTGTTTTCACTTTTGTATTATTTAGTGGTTAGTATAAAAATTGTATTAAGATCGATGTCCAAAGAGTTGTCGAATTTGTTGTACCTATAGTTTATGTTCTAGGATCCACCGAAATATTAATTCTTACTAATATTACGCTGCAGTCCAAAGTTTGCATAATTACACAATTAATGTTATATTAAGTAGTATGGATTTCTTATTAAAAAGTAGTCTTTTCTAGGTATTCTTTTTGTACATACGATGAAATTGAATCTCAGAATTGCCATGAATATTCTTAATTAAAATAGTATATCTTCTAATGTTAGTGATTATTGAATACTGAAAATGAAAATCAAAATTGGCCGTCGCATACGCTTATCGACGTAAATATAGGCTCGTAGATCTAACCAAAATTAATGTGTCTTTATCAAAACAATTCCGTCCAGTTGAACATTATTTTAACAAATATGTATGTTAGATAATATTTGTATACACTAGAGATATAAGAAACTGTATTACATAATGACTAATGTAATTAAATATGAATATATTCCGTAAACTATGCAATCGTTTTGTTTTTGCTATACGTACACAACACACTACAAAAATTTATAATAAATAAACAAATTTTTAGGTATTCCCAAGGTACTCTCAATTTTGTTGAATTTAAAAAGATAACCATTAAAATACAAGTCGATCATTTATTATACACATGTTGTAGAAACCTTCCTAATTTTCCAATTTTACTAAATTTTATAGGATATTTCAAAAGGACAATGAAACGTGACGCAAGTTGCACAAAATTATAACTGTACTATTGAAAATACAATATTGAACATAACAATGGAGTGACAATCGTTATATTTATACTTTCTCCCACTCCCTTAATCGACCAATACGAAGTCGGAAATTAATCGAGGCGCCAATTTAACTGTGCAATGTTCATAACGCACCGAATAAAAAATTGAATGACATCTGAGGTTTTTGTGAATTACTTAGAGGTTCGATCAATGTTATAGAAAGAAAAGAAAGAACGAACTCCCAGAAAACCAGTGAATTATGAAAGAAAAAGGTTAACGTATTGGAATTCAATAAGGGACACTTTCTCGTTCATTAATACAAAAAGATAAACAATCTACATTTCTTAACCTACAGATACAACTAAATGGTATCGACGTTTAAATCCGTTCAAATCGAAAGTGGTTGACCAAGACGAGCACAGCAGTGGCATCAGGTTGGTTCTCAGACCACTTAGAATATTCCAGTTTGTAAGTATGAAGGTTGTGAATACGAAGTTTGTGAAAATCTTTTCAACACAACCGATCACTTACGTTTTATCAATCAGCTAGTGGTACTATTAATCTTCGTGCTCGTGATTTACACGATCGCGACGAGTAGTACGAAAGTGTCATCGATCACGTGTCTTTTGCTGATCGTCCTTTCCGGTGTCTATGTTTTCGTCCTGGCAATAGAACTGATCAGCCAATTCAGCAATGGAGAATTGTATGAAGTACCGGTAATCATTTGCATAAACATAAGTTTACGAGTGTAAATTTATTAATTGTAGTTCGTAAGATTCTTAACACGTTTCCTACCAGGCGTTACATATGTGTGAGGCTCCAATTTCAAAGTCTAATTTCTAAGTATACTTTGTTTAATAAAAACAGAATGTGTTTTGCAATGTTCAGATATGGTACGTGTTATTCATTATCTCTGTTTTATGTCTTTTTGATACATAACCGAAAAGGTAAGAAAATTTTACCGAAGAGAATGATGCAGACCTATGGAGTGATTTATGACGAACGTTTTCGAAATAATATGGTGGTAGCAAGCGTGTTAATCACCGATCGATAGCAGTCTATGTAAACCATATATATGATCACATGAAATATTTTAAATATCACCTTCTCGACAGATATTTTATCTTTCCTTTCTGGGCGCCATACTTTTTGGAGTTGCTGGAATTTTTTTAATACCAATTTTTATCGCCACCAAACTTTGGTACATAATTACGATGCTGTGCTTCTGCCTACTGGCGTGTATACTGTTTTTAATCGATGTCATGATAATACTCGTGTAAGTATCAAATACGTAATCGTGTGTCACTTGCAAAATTCGTGTACGTGAATTTTATGCAGGTTGTGGAGACGATCTTGCAACGTTTGCAATCGGTGCACTTGCAACGGTCATCATACCGATAACTATTTCAAGGATGAGAACTATTGTCATCCTCTTTGCAATGTGAGTTCAAGTAACGATTACTTTGTACAGAAAAGATATCGCATAGAATTTGAAAGTGAAACTAACTTTATAGTATTCATTTTACTTTTTTCACTTCCGTCTAGGAAATTGAGTTATTTTCGTATGTGAATGAATCGAGAGATACGCACAAAACTCAGAAATGTTTACACTTACAATCGGAGTATATACAGTGAGCCACGAAAGTATTCGCACCCTCGCAATTCTTGAATTCGAATGATCAATATACTTTAACAATATACATTGTGTAAGGATATATTGTACAATAACTAAACTTTCGAACGATGTATCATTAATTGAAAATAGTAATATACGTAAGTGGAAACTTAAGCGAATCATCGAAAATGTAATCTCATAAAAGTATTCTAATTCGTAAAATTCAAAGAATTTACAAATATTTTGATTCCACAAGGATACAACTACATAGTACGAATACGAATACTTTTGTGAGCTTCATTTATATTGCTATGAATTTATATACTATATCACTACGAGTTTTTATTTACATTACTATTGATAAACATTTCTGAATATGTATTGTCAAAGAATTATTAGTCATTCGAATTCAAGAATTGCGAGGGTACGAATATTCCTGTGATTCGCTGTATGTAGTACTTTTTTTATTTACCTCCACTGTGAAATGTGTAGAAAGCTTAAAAATTTTAAAAACTTATAACCTGAGTCTATAGTGGTTTTATAGTTATTAGTTTCATATTCATTATTTCGTTTGGCAAAAAGATAGCAAGCTACAATGAAATCCTGTGAAACGATGTGAGTTATAAATATTTTCATATGTTTCTTACAAAAATAGTAATAATTAAAAAGTAGCGAAATAGACACAGTAGTGACACTTTAGCAACACATGTAAGTACACAAATTCTCGATGAGTATTCGAAGGCTCCTAGACATTGAACATTGAATATTTCATAAATTAATGGCCATATTCGGCTGAAACGAATATCATTGGCTTCAAAATTACAAGCTCTATGATTGTGCCAAACCTTATTAAAAAGTCAGCATTACACCTGGGAACCCCTCCTTGTCAGTGCCGAGGAGCCTTTCGAAAACTCATCGAGGATTTACTGTAAGTAAATTTTACACACCTCTTAACACTAATCAAACTTAGGAACGCTTAGAAGGGCTGAAATTAAGTATAATCTCCAAATATTTATGTCATATATCGAATAATTAATCAAATAATGGCAAAGGAGAACCTCGATTACTATACATCCAGCACTCTAGTTCGAAGTAATCTATGTTCCTGGAGTATGAACGTCTCTTTTAAGGTGTCTCTCTGCAATCTAGACGGTCAAATACGATTTGATGACCAGCGTCAGCAGCATCAGAGTACCATCCGGCGACGAGGATGGCATTCCCGAGCACTGCTACCGAAAAATGGGATGTGCGCGTCGTCGACAATACGTCGATCGTCCGACTAGTGCGCGATCAAAGTCCGCCCTGGACATTGCCAAGTGTCAAACAGAACAGCCCATGATGTGCAGTATGCAGTGCCAAGTGAGTGGCATCGGTTAATTATTCTAGAAAAATGTGCAACTCCCATGGGAATTTTCGTTTGAATTATAAAACTGAATAAGTAATAAATAGTATAATAATATAAACTGAATTATAAACTTGAAATGATGTTTCTATCGCAATATCCGTGACAATGGAATAAATTTATTAACACTAGAACTACGAAATCTGTCACAATGATAGATTGCAGATTTCTTATTCAGTGATCACTGAAATTATAACAGTGCTTTTGCTGGGGTGTATGTTGATATTTAATTTACTGTACATTTTGTATTACACTATATTATGCTAGATTGTTTTATATATTTTGTATATCACTTTATCATACATAATTTAATTCAGTATACATACATTTAACGCTCATGGGCGTAGCCAGGGGGTAGGCCACCTCCCCTAGAAGGAAAGAACTGGCCTCTGCCCTCCCCTAGAGGGGAAAACAATATAATGGAATTTATCTGAAGATTAATCCCACCCCCCTGGCTATGCCCATGTCCTGGTAGTTCAGTGTTAAAGGTAAAAAAACAACTCGTCTGTTCAAACTTTG